AAGTCTGGGGTGCCTGGGTGGCTCAGTTGTTAAATGTCTACCTTCAGCTCAGGTCATGATCCCAGGGTCTTGAGATCGAGTCCCATGTGGGGCTCACCGCTCAGTGGGAAGCCTGCTTCTCCCTCTCCCTCTGCCTGCCGCTGCCCCCTGCTTGTGCTCTCACTCTCTCTCTCCCTGTCTCAAATAAATAAATACAATCTTTTTTTTAAAAAAAAATATCTATTGTATCTGTAATTATGTGCTCTCTATTCTTTTTAGATATTGTGCATTTGTACTTGCTTTTCTTGATCAGTCTTGTTAGAAGTTTGTCAATTTTATCAGTTTAAGGAACTAATTTGTTTTGTAATTTATTAATTTCTGCCTTTATTAGATCTTTTCTACTTTGTTTGACTTACTTTCTAATTCTTTTTCTGACTTAAGTCAATTTTCAGCCTTTATTCTTTTATAATATAATATTTAATGAAAAAAATTCTTTTGAAGTACTAGTTTCATTGCATTCCTTAGATTTTGGTATGTAGAGCTTCCATTTTGGGTCACCTTCAAGTACTTTAACATCTTTCTATTAGTATTTCTTCTGTTACCTAGGATTTATTTACAAATGTTTGTACATTTCCAAACATATGTTTTTTCTTGTTGTTTTGTTGTCTTTTTTGGAATGAATTTCTAACAAAATTACATTTTGGTTAGAGAATGTCACCTGTATGATACAAATTCTTTGGACATTGTTTAGATTTGCTTTATGACTTAGTCATTTTTTATAGATGTTTCATGAGTTCTTTAAGAAAATATGTAATCTATAATAATTGATTGAAGAATATATGGAAATATATATGTATATAATATACCATTGCCATTAAATCAAGTTTATTTGTTTTGTTCAAATCATCCTTATCTTTTCTAAATTTTCACCTGCTTGATCTAGGGCATACACAGTTTTGAATAGTTTTACTTTCCTGGTGAATTCAACCTTTTATTTTGTTTTGTAGTGACTTTTTTTTGTCAATGATAATGCTTTGTGTATTAAGGTCTAACTTATCATTAATATAGCTATATCAGCTTTCTTTTAAAAGTTGGTATTTATCTGGTGCATCTTTCCATCTTTTTATTTTCAACTTCTCATGATCCTTAATACTTTAAGGGCATCTCTTATAAATGGATTTTTAAAAAAAGATTTTATTTATTTGTTTGACAGAGAGAGCAGAAGCAGGGGGAGGGGGAGAGGGAGAAACAGGCTCCCCAGGGAGCAGGGAGCCAGATACGGGACTCCACCCCAGGACCCTGGGATCATGACCTGAGCAGAAGGCAGACACTTAAGTGACTGAGGCACCGAGGCACCCCTGGAATTTTTTTTTAAAGGTTTTATTTATTTATTTGAGAGAGCAAGAGAGCACATGAGTGGGGGGTGGGGGAGGGGCAGAGGGAGAGGGAGAAGCAGACCTGGAGATGATGACCTGAGCCAAAGGCAGACCCACGGAGCCACCCAGGAGCCCCCAAATGAATATTTTTTAAAAAGAATCAATCTCTGGCTTCCAACCAGAAAATTACTTTATAGTTCCACTTTTATTAGTTGTATATGTGAACTTATTTCTACTTTCTTGCTTTAGTGCTTTCTTTATATCCTGCTTTTTTATGCTGATCCAATTTTTTTTTTTAAATTGAAGTGTATTTTCCCCTTAGTTCATTCTCCCTTTCAGCTCGTTTAGAAGTTATACACAATGTTACTTTATTGATTACCCTTGAAATTTTAACTTGCATACTTATCTTTTTTTAAAAAGATATTTTATGTATTTATTTGAGAGAGAGAGAGAGCACGGGAGCACATGAGGCGGGGGGAGGGAGAGGGATAGAGAGAGAGGGAAAAGCAGACTCCCCACCGAGCAGGGAGCCAGTCCCAGGACCTTGAGATCATCATGAGCTGAGCCAAAAGCAGATGTTTAACCGACTGAGCCACGTAGGCGCCCCACTTGCATACTTATCTTAAAGTCTTAAATCAATTTATGTTCTAACTCTATGCCCAAAGAAGACTTTAGAATTCTTTAACATTCGTCATCCACCTCTTGACTTACACACTTTTGTTGTCTGGTGTTATTTTATGTAATGCTTTTTTAGATAAACTGACATGTTTACAGTTTCTTTGTTTCTTTTTTCTTCTTACATATCAGACTTTCTCTCTGAGGTAATTTTTCTTTCTTTTTTTTTTTTTATTAAAGATTTTATTTATTTGACAGAGAGAGAC